ATCATCATTATTTTTATTATCATTATCATTATTTTTAAGCATTATATTCGCGACAGGTTCACTTTAAAGAATTTTCAGCATTCTATGTTGAGGGGATTATTAATCAGGTAAAAAGCCTTCCTGCCAAGACTGCTGTGAGCTCAGAGTGGAAGTGTTCATGTTACAAGTAAAACCATCTAAGCACTGACTAGTTTATCATTTTCAATCAGCTTCCTGGCTGTTCCTTGGCCGTTGGACAAATTTCCTGTGTGTTAGACATAAATAAGAATTGTGTAGATTGTACTGGGTTATTACTCTATGATAGAAAGCATGATGCCAAATAGACCCCTGACAGGGTATGGTGGTCATCTATTGCACACTTTCGCTGAGATAAGCACAATAAACGTTCTTTAAAATTTGTATAAATGTCAAATGTTTGGAAAGTCTCATTGTTTTGATCAAATTATGCTAGAAGTCCACCCAAACACTGCAATTTAATTATCAAGTTGATAGTGATATGCTACAAATACTGTTTGCAGGTTGAAATCAGAACTGTACATAGAAGCAAGGCATCCAGTAAACCTGAGCGTTTTAAAGAAAGCAGACCTTTATACTGCATGATCCCTTTGCCCCATTGGCTTCTCCCCCCCCTCCCCTCCATATTCTCAAAAAAAGTTGGCCTTTCTTGTATTTATTATTATTATTATTTTTTTTTTTTTTTCCCCCCCTTACATTACAAGCATTCAGCCTCCCAAGATATGGACGTCTAATATTCAAGGAGGCTGCAAGCTTCCCCAGAGCATAGGAAATTACATTGGGTGGTGCTGCATCATCAGGGGGCTGGCTGCAAGGTCCAGGGAGAGACAGTAGGCTCCTGATGATGGCACAGGAGTCAGAAGAACAACTCTAGATTTCTGAGTGTGTGAGTATATTAATTGTAGCTAACCCACAACACAAAGAAAGAGGGGATACAAAAAAAATGAACACGAGGAGTTGGTGAAGTTCCTCTTTAAACGTAGCATATGCCGAAGTAAACAACTTCAATGACAACTGCATGTCAAAGCTATCAGGAGATATCAACTTTTATTCTAACAGTTAAAGTGTAATTGTACCTCTTGTAAAGTCTATAAGACAATGATGGTACAAAGTGCATGCCTGGCCAGAAATATTTGGCAAGTGGCTAATGATTTAGTGAAATATCTTTCCGTATCTGCAACAGGTGAATATAAGGCTGGCCCATAGGCTGCAACCGCTGATCGAGAAATATTTTCCAACATGACAGTCAAGTCATTAGGCCAGGGTTTCTCAACTAGGGTTCCTCCAAAGGTTAAGGGTTCCTTGAGCAATTTCCTCCTTTCAGATCACAAGTGTAAGGAGCATTCTTTCTATTGACCATCACACTAATGTATCATGAGTTGTAAAAAATTATAATTTTTAGCAGGGGTTCCCTTAGACTGGAAAGTTATTTCAAGGGTTCCTCTGTGGAAAAGGTTGAGAGAGGCTGCATTAGACCAAATTCTGTGGGGGAGCGGCCACACATGGATTGAAATTTGTTGAGGTCCTGTTGACTCAACCAAATTTTGATCGATTTATGGCCAACTTAGGACTAGAAGGGGTGGCTGGGGGGCCACCACCTTGGCTGCATTGGTTCCACATCTTAAATCTATATTAGTACCTTTCTGTGATTGGTAGCTTCACTAACCAAAGAGGTTTCAAGCAACGGTTCAAGCTTCAATTTCACAGACAACATTGTGGTTATTGCATCTCTCTCTCTCTCTCTCTCATTGAAGATAACCTCAGTTTACAAAATCTTTGCTAAGCTTATGACAGATTTAGTATGTGAAGAATGGCATCTGATTAGTACCTTTGGATAACTCTAGTTTTCTTTGCTTTATTTTGGAATTGGTGCATTACATAGGTGTGTAGAGAGGAGGTCTTTACATCACTACACTTTCACCAACATTGACAGTCCCGAGAGGATGTCTGCAGACTGATGTTTAGGTGTGTAGAGCAGAGGTCTTCACAATTTCACTCCTTCCCCAATGTTGACAGTCATGAGAGGCTCTTTGTAGACTGATGTTTATTTCTAAGATGAAAGTGGGCTACTGCAGGGCACGTTGCATGTTGGTGTGTGCCTGGACATCCGTAAACCACCTAATGTCCCTACCATTTCCTACACACTTCCTTTTTTGTGTGCCAGTTAACCTAGTAGTAAAATTTTGGTGGTGGGATGAAAGCTGCACAAAGAGTGGGAAAAGAAGAAAACGTCATGCAGATAGCATCCCTGGTACAAATCAAAATAAAGTAGTTGCCCATAATTGGGCTTTAAATGGTCTGTATGACCAAAATTGATATTTGAGTTGTTGAACCTGGTGGGTTGAATATGCAGAGCCAGATCATCCACAAACCAAGATAAACAGGAGCTTTAAAGCCAGGTGAATGTCCAGAAGGCCCAATGGCCTACCTGTGTCTATTGCAACCTTTAGGCATGTCAATCCTAGAGATTGGGAGGGTAAAACCTTTACCCAGCCTAAGGCCCCACAATTGACGGTTTCATGCATACATGTGTGAGGGAGGGGGAGGGGGCTTAATTTTTTTTTTGGGGGGGGGGGGATTTTTAAATGCTTAGATATAATTTAAATTTTAAAACCTTTTTTTTTTTTTTTTTTCCCATCACGTAAGGGGACAAAGTCCCCTACATGAGGCATTTTTGATGACTGTTTCCCTTTTAGTGAGACGTCAGATGTCTAAAAGGTCTCGGATGTCTCACCTGTCCTCCAGTGAAACTAATGGAATACTGATCGCTATACCGGCTGGGGACAGTGACACCAGCACAAGAGGCGGACAAGAGAGACCTTGCTGTCAGACCATTAACTGCAACAACAATCTGCCCAGAAGATATATGGACATTTAACAAATTTATGCATGTTATTTACCACCTTTGTGTAGATATCCAAAGGGCCAGAGACTGCTGCTGGGCACTGTAATCTTGGATGTAATCTCAGCAGACTCTCAAGTGACACTTGATAGTTTTCACCTTTTGATGGAAAAAAATGTTTAGTAAAACAATTAAAAATTCTGCCCAAGCATTTAAAATCCTATCCCAAAAGGGTTATTTTACATAGGAGCATTTTACATTTGGGCTGATAAAATGCTATTGAAGTCATGAAGGGGTCAAAGAGTTAAGCAGGCCTTTTTTGCCGCAGGCTTCTCGATTGTTCATATGTGGAATGTTTGGGAAACAAATGAAGGGAAATAAGTGGAAATGAAGGCATTCTAAGGAAACGTTTCCCCTGATTACTGTATAATTGTTAACAATGGGACAGGGAGCGTGTGTCTCCCTCGCATCAGATACTGGATAGGGAAGCAAACTAAATCCTGCGTTGTCCTCTGAACAGATACGGAACCTTGAAGCATTTCTCAGCGGGAAGCCATGTGTTTACATCTATATTTATCTGTAATAAACAACATATTACATTGAGCCGGCTTTCATGATAAAAACTAAGTGTCTGAAGCTGGAAGGCAATGTGCTGATTCCTGTGAAATTCCACAGTTCCAGCTGAAGCCAGGCCGGCGCAGTCTGATAAGGAGGGCGTTGCTCTGTCATCTTGTAGGCCGGAGCCTTTCTTTGAAGCCTCTTTGAAGTGTCATCACTTGTGAGGGTCTGCTAATGGCTAATACCGCCTCAGCATCGATCACATTTCACCGAGTGATGAAAAATCAGCCGCAGCTGTGCTCAGACCGTGTGTTGGTGATAAGTAACAGAAGCTGGTTAAAAATGGAACCACAATTGTGAAGGGCTCACCTTTTTGTTTATTTGGCAGCTCAGTCGTCATAATGTTTTGGAATGAAGAGATTGTAATTTTATTGTAGGGCCCCTTGCACGCGGGGACGTCCGGCTGTGGTCTATGCCCCGGTTGGACAGGTGCAGCGTCCAGCCCGGGGACGAGGTTCCAGAAGGCTAGGTTCACACCTATGCAGGTTGCGTTTGAGCCTTTCCGCATTGCGTTTTTGTGTTTTTTTTATCTGCGTATTTTGATGCATTTTGCGGGTTTTTTTTTAAATTTTTCTTGTTGCTGGGAAGATTTAAAATGCAAAACACATCAAAAACATGGCAAAAACGCAATACATGCTTTTCTGCAGCGTTTCCAGTGCAGTCTATTCGCATTCAAAAAAGTCCCTGATCCTTTGCAAAAAAAAACGCACCGTGTGAAAACACGCAGATGTGAACATGTCCCATAGGAAATCATGGTAAGTGGACTGGACTGCGTTTCTGCAAAACGCTGCAGAAAACACTTATGTGTGAACCTAGGGGAACACAAGAGGCTTGCATTCTAGAACCTCACCCCTGAATGCACAGGGACCTAAACACCGGTACCAGGGGCGGACTGACCATTTGGAAACTCAGGCACTGCCTGAGGGCCCAGGGTCAGTAGGGGGCCCCCTGAGATGCCCCTGGTACCTTTTTCATAGGCTTTTTTGAGTTTGGGCAAGGACACAGGGGCCCCATGATCCCCTATTGCCCAGGGGCCCCATGAGTTGTCAGTCTGCCCCTGACCGGTACCATTCATTACAGGGTCCAGCCACAGCCTGCCATAGACTTTTGCAGACCATACATGGTTCGAATTTCGAACAATTTTTTGTCCAAAAAATTGAAACGTCGTTCGTTCTGTAATCCGATGGTGCCACCAATGATTTTGAAAATTGGTTGTTTTTCATGAATTTTCCAGCATGCCCGATAAACAAAATGGGGAGGAACCTTGAAAATCAGCTGATGCCATTGCCCCACTAACAGAGCAAAAATTGGCCGATTTATTCTTGGGTCCAATTTTCATACGAAAATCGTTCGAAATTTGAAACCATGTATGGCCTGCATTAGACAGACTACTTGCTTCCTGGGCTGCACCCCGCTCCTGTCCCTCCAGGGAACACCCAACGCACGACAGCATGTGCAACAGGCTCTACAAATGGGTACTGGTGTTTAACCACTTGACCTCCGGAAGATTTACCCCATTCATGACCAGGCCATTTTTTATTCCTATACGGTCCTCCGGTATTTTAACTGACAATTGCCTGGTCATGCAATACTGTACATAAATTAAATTTCCTACAAATAGAGCTGTCTTTTTGGTGGTATTTGATCACCACTGAGTTTATTTTTTTTGTGCTATAATCGAAAAACAAAAAACCTGGCAATTTTGAAACCAAAAAAACACAATATTTTTAACTTTCTGCTATAAAACATATTTAATAGAAAAATTTTAAAAATTCAAATGTGTTCATATATTTAGGAAAGTATGTATTCTGCTACATATTTGTGGTAAACAAAAAAAAATCCCAATCGGTGTATATTGATTGGTTTGCGCAAAAGTTATAGCGTCCACAAACTATAGTGTATATATGCTGGAATTTCTGTTAAATGTTTTATACTAGTAATGGCACAATCACAACTTATAGCAGGACTGCAATATTGCGGCGGACAATCTGACATGAACTGACACTTTGTGGGAACAAGTGACACTAATACAGTGATCAGTGCTAAAAATATACACTAATCACTGTATTAATGACACTGGCTGGGAAGGGGTTAAAGGATAGGTTCACCTTTTGTTACATGTTACAGCCATATTCAGGGTGTAACATGTTATGAATGCACCGCCCCCCCTTTGACAGCTAGCAGGGGATCTTATCTCCCCCCCACTAGCTTCCAAAATGTAAAAAAAAAAACAACGTGGCCGTGTGGGGCTCAAACCCAACTGGCCACGTCACTCGTCCACAGTCCTCTGTGGATGAGAAACTACAAGTCCCAGCAGCCTTCGTGTTGGCTTGTAGTTCTCAATGAACTAGCATGGTGCTGCTCCGGTTGCTGTTACAAGAAAGCCAACCGCCTGCTCCGAATAGAAAAATAAAAGGGGGATTTAATAGGGGCCCCCCATTTTCTTATGGGATTGTGGCAGGGGAAATAAAGTTTGAAGTTCCCCCACTGTTTATACAGTGGGGGGACATTCTAGAAGGTCAGTAGGGGTTTTTAGCCCCCCCCCCATTGGTGTGAGGAGGAGAAAAAAAACTTTAAAGTTTCAAGTTCCCCCATGGTGCACTAATGGGGAAGCTTCTAGAAAATAGGAGTTTTTAGCCCCCCACTACACCTGGACAGTTTTAAGCCCCCCCCCCCATGGTATACTAATATAATGGGGAAGCTTCTAGAAAATATTAGTTTTTAGCCCCCCACTACGCCTGGACAGTTTTAGGCCCCCCCCTCATGGTATACTAATATAATGGGGAAGCTTCTAGAAAATATTAGTTTTTAGCCCCCCACTACACCTGGATAGTTTTAAGCCCCCCCATGGTATACTAATATAATTGGGAAATTCTAGAAAGTGGGAGTTTTTAGCCCCCCATTACACCTGGACATTGGAAGAAAAAGTGACCAATAGGGAGAAGAATTAGAGAGAGGAGAGGGCTATAAAAGGGGGGTCCGTTTAACGGAGAAAAAAACAGAAACCTGGGCGGCATCTCTGCGGTGCTCCTCTCCCACCCGCCCTTTTTTTCATTGCGGCCAATTATTATTAGTAAGTATCATATTAAATGATGCTAGATTATGTAAATATGTTCATTGCAAAAAGCTGTATGGTTAATACGTATTAGTCGTAGTGACTAAGCTGGGGTTTTGAGTTGTATTAATTTAAAGCGGAGTTCTACCCAAAAGGGGAAGTCCCGCTTTGTCCCCCCTGAGAAAATGCTGGACTCTGGGACAGTGTGTGTTTTTGCTGAAAAAAACACAAAACTGGCTGGAACTCTGCTTTAACTAGATGGATGCAGCATCAATCCCAGCTGCAGCTGTCCCCCACTGCCACGAAGACTGGGAATTGAGTGATCAAACACCGCTGATCGCTCAGTTCTCCCCTCCGCTATGAGTGACACTGTACTACTTGTGGGGGGTGATGAAGATTTTTTTTTTTTTCTTTTTTTACACTGATTGCTTTTACAACCCATAAAGACTGTAAAAGCAATAATTTCTCCTTCTCTCTGGCTGCATTCCTGCAGCCATTCAGAAATACTGTGAGATCTGTGATTGGTCACAGCTTGTCACATGGTACAAGGCTGTTGTGAATAGCCTTGTACCATGTGACCTCTGTGATCATTCTCAGATTTCACAAGTAGTAAGCAATGATGTCAGAAGTGACATCTTGTTTACTACTGTTCATGTGATCACTGATTGGCCAATCACTGATCACATGAATCGGGTCCTCACACAGCGGTCCCGTACAGCGATCTGTGTTCCGCTGTGCCACGTGCTCCCAGGCAATGGATGGTGGGGGACATTTAGAAACGTCCACCTGCATCGGCAGTGCTCCCGTCCGGCCCTTGTCAATAAACAGCCGGACGGGAGCACTGCCGATGCAGGTGGACGTTTCTAAAGGTTAAGCTAGGTTATATACCCAGCCGCCAAACACCGCCTCAGGGACTATCCTAACTGACCACAGACCCCTACCAACCTTACCTCCGCGGTCAGTCTAAACTGAACCAGACCAACCAGAGGACTCCATAACTGAGATGGGTCCCATCGTTTTACCAATATGTCAAGTTTTAGACCCCCATCAAGGACCTCAACTGCACCCCACCTCCTCCAAACCATGCAAACCCAATTACCGGGGCGGGAGGGAGGGACGTCTCACTGACGATTTTCAGCTTGCAAGTGACGCCCTTCACTTCTCCACACCAACTACTCTCTCTTCAGCTCCTCCTATCGCCCCGTCCACTCCTCCAATCTGGTAATTGTGCTCTAATTTCATATATCAACAGCTACATTGACCCAATCTTGCCAGGTTTTCCTTCTACCCTGTCATGTATGCCCTGCGCTTACTCTCTTCTTTCAAAGCTTCAGGCATGTCTGATTGGAGTTGACGCACTATAGTCGACATCCTTTGTATACATTTATGGCAGTTGTCACTTTGTAGTTGTTAACTACTGAATTTCCCCAGCAAAGAATGCAGAAATGGACTGAGAGCAATTTCCTATGAAAGTAATGTATTCCGAATGGTTTGTCCTTCCCTTGTGATATCACTGCTGCAAGCAATTAACTTAATTGACTATAAAATCTCCTTGAGCGGTGATGTCAGTAAGATTTCAGAGAAGGCGGTTTCCTTCCGAAGTGGAGAAGGGATGGGGAACCAACATGAGGAGTTCCCTCTGCTTGTACTGTAGAATCGCGATGAAGGAAATAACAAACTACATTTTTTATTTTAATGAGCAATAATACAATATATGTAAACCTATCACTGAAATCTCATTCATTTTAAGGCCGATTTTACAATGCTGTGCAATGGAATACCCGTGGCCTCCCATAGACTTTTTAGTAGTTTTTGAGTTTTTTGGCACAGTTTCAGAAAGTGCACCAAGGATGAAGCATGCAGGGCTTTTGGTGTGTTTTCAAAAAACGAACCAAAAACATGCAATCTAATAGCCTATGGGAAACTGTGGGTAACTGCACATAAATCATGGGTACACATGTGCTGTGGCTAAATCGCAGCACAGCAGTGTGAAATTGGCCTTTTAACCTCCCTGGCGGTCTAACTAATCAATATTTTTGACCGTTAACGCAGTAAATTTTTTTAAATAAATATTTATTTATAGTAATGTAATCCTAACAGATTACAATGTATTGTGTGTGTCTTTTTTTTTTTTTTACTTTTTTAAATCTCCCGCCGGTTCCACCCCCCGTACCTCCTGATGCTTGCAGGGAACGGAAGACGGATGCCAGCATTGGCCTGCGGACATCGGGGTTGTGGGACAAGGTAAAATTCGAGGGATCCCTGCAGTGTAATCCCGAGTGTTGCCTGGTGGTTGCCGATTTTGGTACTGAAATTAACCCCAGGTCACACTCGGGATTCCTGCCAACCACCTGTATATAAATGTCCCCTCTTTGAGAGCCTCCAACCACTGCTTTAAGTGGCTGCTGACTCTCAATCCCAGCTTTTACTGACGGCTCAGATCCCCACTGACAATTGGGAAGCAGAATGCTTCACAATCATGAGATCACTAATGTGAGTGATGACCTAGTGATCACATGCAGGCTTTACTTAAAAAAAATAAATTAATAAAAGCCTTCAGCTTGCAAATGAACACTGTTGAAGTAACATCTATTTAATGCTTTAATTGTCTGATTACAATTACAACCTTAAAAAAAAAAAAAAAAAAAAGTATAGTTTAAAATAGGGATTCACCGATACCGGTATCAGTATCCGTGCCGATAGAGTATTTTCATGAGTACTTGTTCTTGTGAAAATGCTACCGATAACCGATCCATTCATGGATGCAAATTGCACTGCAAAGATTAGCATGCGATATGAAGTTTTATGTGCAAGAATCTCGCTGTAAACCCGCCTGGAGCAACAGCATTATGGCAAAAAAAAAGATTGATGCATGTAAACACGTCCAAATGCGCATTAATGCTAGCGCTTGATTATTATTATTATTCTGGCCATTTAAATGGATTAACACCCAAGCACTTGATGTGCCTAAACCTGTTACACGCATTTACAAATGTTAGGCATTTTTTTTTGCTAAAATTCTGCTACCAGGAGGAAAGGCATACAGTTAGATCCATATATATTTGGACACAGGCACAATTTTCATACTTTTGGCTCCGTATGCCACCAGAATAAATTTAACCACTTGCCTACCAGGCACTTATACCCCCTTATTTACCATGCCAATTTTTCAGCTTTCAGCGCTGTCGCACTTTGATTGACAATTGCGCGGTCATGCAACATTGTACCCATATGAAATTTTGATCATTTTTTTCTCACAAATAGAGCTTTCTTTTGGTGGTATTTAATCGCCACTGGGCGCTTTACTTTTTGCGCTATAAATTAAAAAATTGCAAAAAATTTAAAAAAAAAAAAAAAGTTTCTTTGTTTCTATTATAAAATTTTCAAACAGGTAATTTTTCTCCTTCACTGATGTGCGTTGATGAGGCAGCACTGATGGGCACTGATAGGCAGCACTAAAGGGCACTGATAGGCAGTACTAATGAGGTGGCACGGAGAGGCGGCACTGATAGGCAGCACTAATGAGGTGTCACGGATAGGCGGCATTAATATGCAGCACTGATAGGCGGCACTGATAGGTGACACTGATGATGGGTACTGATAGACGGCACTGACTGGCATC